ATTGTCTATTTCGCTTTTACTTTTCAAAAACCAAACATTTTCAAAACCGCCTATGGTTCAGTAGGTTCAAGTTATATGAAAGCGATGAGTCGAATGATAATTTGTTCTTATTTTTATGTAATTGCCTCGGAAGTGTGCAACTGACTCTGAAGCACAAAACGTTTATTTTTCTTCATCATTTTTCATTTGTTTTGATTTTCTTTAATAATTTTCTTATTTATCTGTTTTGTGTCACCTGCACTCATTAAACTGTGTTTCTTACACACAATTTTTGCCCCGTTCGAGTTCTAGTTTCTTGAAGTAATAGCTACTATGACGCAGACTATTTTATGGAGTCCGCTGAAACTCGTAATTACTCGCTATTAATGTGTACTAACTGCGAAGATCAATAATGAACTTTAGAAGAAAACCTAGTTCTATGGAGACTTTCATGTACAAACAAAGTATGCTTTATAATGAAGAAAACGTTACAAAAGTCAGTCAAAATTCGATGTAATTCTCATATCCAACAGATTTACTTCCACAACCAATGTGGTTACATGTCCAGGCAAATTCCATATTTTACGTAATTTGAATTTAATTTTTTTGTGCCATAAATATTGAAGACTGCTTTTGTCTCAGTATATTTGTAACACTTTGTCTGATGAACAGTTCAATACTATATAGCGTACGTTGTGAATTTAGAAGCATAATTCTAAACAAGCTAGAAACAGATTGTATAAACGAGCAATCAAGTGTCCTAAAACAAACACATTAATTTTAAATGCATCCCGGAAAGGAGCGTTAGAGTATTCTCCGCGAAGAGTCAACGTTTACAGCGAGCTGCTGAGAAGGTGCTTTTCTCGAGCAAAATTAAAGCGGAGGTGATCTTAGAATGAAGCCAAACCCACCTTCATTACAAATTCTCCGGAAGTTTAGGAGCTGCCGAAGTTGAATTAAAACTCGCAGCGAATTCCTCTTCAGCCCACCCTCGGCGCCAAGTTTTGTTCCTGAGAGATGGTGGAATGCCATTCCTTCTGCCGTTCGCATTTAGGTAGTATTTTCCGTTTTGTATTGGCGAACGTTATTAGTCTTTGGCGTAGTAAATTAGTCAGGTGATGTTGGTGAACCATCTCTTCATTGCATGCGGTGAGGTCAATTTGTATTTCTGGTATGGGGGTCCATTTAATGTATTTTGGCGGTCTATCGATCGTTGCTCGTATTGACAGAGGATTAGCGACCGTGACATGCGAGTTTCATGTTCATATTTGGAGGCAATTTTCCGAGTAATGGGTACGACAAATTTATTATATTTAAAAATAGTTAGCACACATTTGTTTCCGCTTTTTATTTAAAATATCTAGTTTGATTGACATCTAAAATACACCGAGAAGGTTTCTATCCAACGCAGATTATTAATAATGAAAACATTGTTTATTAATGACACAGAGTGCTAAAGGATTTCATTTTTTTTTTGATACGCAATTATTGGAGGTTTATTCATTCTGATGAAGATACGTTTAGTTCAAACTGTGAAATTGCGTCTTCTCTACTGAGTGCCAAACTGCAACAAATATTTTGTTTACGAAATATATTATATTACTGGATCATTCTAAAATGTTTGAAAATATTTTTAATGAAGCAAGCCGAAAATGAATCGTCATACCACGTGTTGCACGTTTATGGAAATGAGAACAACTATCAAATGGCAAGAAGTGATACTAAAAGTAACAAATAGGTTGCCCATTCTCGATGAGAAGCATCGTTAGAATATTGGAAGTGACCTAATTAATTTTGAAAGTAAGTTGATTCAAGGTAGAGTAACAGAGTTTCAATAATTTTGGATCCATATTTCGAAGCCTGGTTTGTCAACTCATATCAAACTTAAACCTTTGTCGTATGGGCCTCAAGCAGACATTTATTGAAGGACTCACATTTATATTTCAATAAAAATCAATTTATAGTACAAATAAATAATTCTGACAATTGAATTCGTTTTCAGTGGCCAAATATATTATTTACACATTACACTGATCGTTTCGTGGCAACCGACAAATTATCTTAGAATCACCGTGAGAATGTCGATGCTTTCCTTTGAAGACAAGCAAAAAACAGAGTATTCCTTCAGATACGTCAAAGAGAATGCTCACGTACCCTAGTGAAAGTTTTATTTTCTTTTACAATTCTAGTTTTCCTTCCATGCCGCACTGTACGTAATTCAAGTACTTGTTAAAACTCCTTGGAAATGCGTGAGTCCAGGGCAACTGTAGCGTGTGTCTGCACCACGAACGGTAGCTCTACTTCCGAAACTACAAATTGCGTCAGGTTGCACTTAAACTTGCAGAAGTGAAGGAACGTTCTCTGATCTTGTTCGTGATGAGAAAATCGTTAAAGAGTGTTTAATTAAGGACCATAACTTAAATGTATGTTGCGTGCTTTCGGAAAAGCAAGTGCAATAGAATTCAATCACGCAATGTCTACTGAAAATCGTTCTTGCGATAGTCAAAAAAATATCAACGTCCGAATTAAAGAATGGTTTCCATGGTAAATATTTTATAGCTAGAAGAAGAATAGAAATTACTTTGAGAATTATTGACAAGTATATGCCCCGAAAATTAGAATGGTTGCTTACATATTACATTGCGAGTTAAATATAGAGATGTAAAACTGCATTTTTTAAAATTTTTCGAAATACATATGTCTATTTTTAAATGATTGTCAATAGTTAAATTTCAAATAATTAGATTATAAAAGTTATTAGATCACGTGTAACAAAAGCTGTAGTAATAATAGGTCGGATTCCATTACATAATCAGTGGGTTACATGGGTTACATTATAGAAGCGTGTGAAAGCAGGATGGTGACTACGGTTAAGACAACTATCGTTAAGAATATTTTAACACAAATCTTAATAAAATCCGAAACGTTGACAATTCAAATTATTTGTTTAAATTTTAACAAAACTCAACAAAATTATCAATATAAAAAAAATTGTGTTCTTGATCTCCAAATCACATAAGAGATATTCGAGAATGAATACAAAGTATATTTCAATATTACAAAACGTAATCCATTTCCATGAAATATCACAAACGATCTCATTAGTAACATAATTCTGTCAACATTGCAACGCTAAAAAGTCCTCACAGATATTGTACATTTTATAATAAAAAATGAATTAATTTTATTACACTCACAAAGGATGAAGCAGAACGGAAACGTACCTGCAACAAAGAAAATTTTAATTAGTGTGACAGTTAATTGCTGACATGTTATTAATTTTATAGTCTGGGCAACAGTATGTAACAGTGAGTTTGGGAATAAATGCGATGTATCCCAGAGGGATGACCAGGAGCAAAACTCCTTTCCGCTGTGTTCTAAATTTCACAAATTTTATATTTATACAAAATTCAATGTTACAACAGAAAAACACATTCTCCCTACTGGGAAGCATGCGAATTAAAGTCGCATTTACAGAACTCAGATTTCACTTACCTTTCTAAACAATATACCATTATACGCTTTAAATGTTTCAGACAGTAAAATATCTAGCAGACATAAAAGTGAGGACGGCATTAATTAACTTTTTAATAATATATAAAATTAAATAATTAGAATTAGATACATAATTGGAAGCGTTTCTAACTGTTTGAATAAGCTGATTTTAGTTATGTTCACAATTAAATACTTAGGTATTGCTTCATGCAATTATTTTTATAATCAGAAAGAGTTATTATCTTTAATTGTAGAGGAATATCTACTATTGTATGTACCTAAATTCCCTGCAAAAGTTCAATAGTGGGAGAGAAACAGTGTTTTCTTCAACTTCCTACACGAACACAAGACGCGAAGTTGGAATCACGTGACCCACGTCCATCCATCACTTGTTTCCAATTCCAGCTATCGATCTGTGAGAACAGCAGTCGATTCTCGCGGAACAAGGGACTTTTACCAGACACAAACACAAAAATAGTCGTAGAATTCTGTGTTCTTTACTCAACGGGAGACTTACTTTTAAGACGAGTTTTCTGTCTGTATGTTTACCCAAGTTTGAAGTGTTGAGCTGAAGATGTATGGATTCGTTGACAGCTTCTGACGAGGTGTCAGAACGTGACAGTGAAACAAAGTTTTTCTTATCTCCAAATCTTCTAAAAAGATGATATCGCGGTGTTTTTAAGAATTACAGAGATAAGTGTAAAAGTAACATAAAAAGAAAATAAATTAAATTTATATTCACATCATTCATTTGTTTTACTTTTAAAATTTCAGTATATATTTTCTCATAAATATATATTTGCATCAAATAAATGTTTATACATTACACAAAACAGAAAACAATAACTCAATAATTGAATTTCTAAAGAAACGTCACATTATTGTCTGATCGATTTTTATTTATGTTCAGTTGTTCAAACAATGAACTGGGAAACGAAATTCTGTATTTATTCAAGGGAATAATATTACTTCAGCATTAAATATTCATACTTTACATTCATCATATCTTACAATTTACATAAAAATTGATTCACTGCCGATTCTCGCAAACAGGAATATTTGATTCACAAAGTATCGAATTCCAACATTTACGTCCAGTTGGATAATTGTGCGTGCTTCTATCTCAATATCGCTCAATGCGAATCCATTTACAACACACGTATGCACGTTAGTTCAAGCTCCAATATAGTTTCCACGTTCTACCGAAGAAACCAATGGCCATGTAAACTTATGGATGCCATTAGCCGGCGGAGCACCCATAAGAAGACCATATCCCGGGCAGGCTTTCGTTAATTATTAGGCGGGGCCATTTGGTCGAGGCGCAGACCCAGCTTTCCGTGAACTCGGACCGCCCGCCCACCCACTTGCGCGCGTGCGCATGTCCACAAAATGGATGTCGGCGACGGGCAATTATGAGCGCGGAGAGCGTATCAGCGGCGTGCTAGAGTGCGTGGGGCGTGTAATAAACCCCAATAGCAATCCCGTCGTTATACCATACGAAGCCGACCAGGGAGTGGGAGAATCGATCGGGAATTACTGGACTCTTTCTTCGATGATTTCCAATGTAACAAGGTCTTGAAAAACTTTTTGTGTTAGCTCATGAGATGAAACGGCTTCCCTCGAGAAACACTGGGAAGGAATCGATGTGGTAATTGATGAAGTTAAGTAAGAGTGTTGGTGCTTACAAATATTTGGATAATGCCTCGTTGCGGAACATTTGAACGTGCTGTTTATAAAACTCTTTATCCACTAGCCGAACACTTGCTATTTCTACTCCTAAACCGATGAGGGTGTTTCGTGGTTGTTGGTAAGCACCCAGAACGACTAATGGAGCAAATAATTTCATACAAGAAATAAACACTGTGCCCCTCCGTTTTGTAAACAAAAAGAGTAGGAAGTCAAAAGAAAAGCTTTTGTAAACTTTCTTGCGTTCTACGCTTGTATAGAGTGAAGTAATTTCCAAACAAATATATGGTCATGTTGTTTAGTCTCCAGCAGGGCATTTTGCTTTTACAATGTCATAATACTTAAGACATTTACTGCTACACCAAACAATAGAATTCTATAAGACATGTATAATAATGTCCTGACATATTTAAGCGACTATTCAATATTTTCCATTTCACATATATGCATCTGTTAGATCAACAAGGCAGACGAAATAGCAACAAATAAATGAAAGGATACGAACATTTCTTGAAGACGCCAATTTACTAAGCCGACTCTCGACTGCAAGTAAATAAAAGAAGCAAACCTCTTTTCGCTCGTCCACAACCAACACAAATTCTACAGAGAGCCTCATCGAAATCAGTGCCCAAAAATTCCGTAGATCTCTTGGCTTTACCGTTCGCTCTCTGGGAAAGGCAGACGTAATCTTATTCTAGTGTTATTTCCCCCGAATAATATTTTTAACCTCGCGAATATGAGCTCCGGAAATAGGTGCGTAAAGAAACACAGCTTTATTATTTTTGCAAACGGCCCCCTTTTGATCCGAAGTTCCGCGCGGCGCAATTTGGAGAATGGAGATATTATACCGGGGCGCGCGTTCGGACGCCGCGCTGTATTTTATTCAAATAAATCCGGTCGCGAGGACGCGCGCTCCCTCGATTGGCGGGTCCGCCCTGCCCAACGACGCGCCATCGCCAGGGGCCCTCGCGAGAAGCACTTTGGCCGCGCCGCGCCCTTCGGCCCAAGGCCGATTTCCCGCGTGGGCCTCAGCCCCCGACGTTACTTCGCGGCTCGCCCGGCAATGTTTATTCTTGCTTCTCTTTTTCCTTCGCCTTCTCCGTCTTCAGCTACTCCTTCTCCATCATGGTTTCCTTTGCGTCGTTACCAACCACCCCTCCTATAGTCTGCAAATTTCCGTAAGTTTTTTATTCTCGCTTCTCTTATTCATCCGCTTTCCCGTCTTCAGGTATCTTTCTGTCCTCGTACTCCTCCTTCTCCCCGATCTGTCTCATCTATTCCTACCCTACTCAATCTTCTTCTTTACGCTATTTTCATCAATTCGTCATTTTCGCTATGTTTATTCTTGTTTCTTTTGTTCCTTCCCCTTGCCCATCTTCAGCTTCTCCTCCAACTTCTCCTCCTCACCCACGAAAATCTACCTCTTCCATTCATTCCCCATCTTGTTCTTTACGTCATTGTCATTCACCTTCTTATTTACATCTTTATCCTTCACCTTCTCTAACACCTTTCTACTACACCTTGGTCTTTATATTTTTTGCTGGTCATTATCCCCTTCTTCTTTCTTATACATCTTCCTCTCTTCCTTTCTCATACTCCGATTATCATTTTCAACGTCCTCATTCTCACTTCTATTACATTTTATCACATTTACCTGTTTTTCCTTCTTTGAGTGATCCCCCTCGCATTTCTTCTCGTCTGGTTGTTGCCGTGCTACTAGTGTTAATCACATTTACTATTCGCAGTTGTTTACTGCTACCAACTACCCACCACAGACCACATCATTTCATACACATCGCGGTTGCTGGCTTAAATAATGTCATCCTGTACCTTTTAGATTTGCCTGATTTAGTCTGTTGATTTTCACAATCTTCAAACGATTTCCGTCTCTTCTGTCAATCTCTTTATTATTTTTGGCCTTTACCGTTTTCGAACTATCCGAGTATTATCTCACAGATTTCCTCAAATTCCACAGGTCGGATACTACGCTTTCTCTCAAAACTCCGCGTCATTGTACTCTCACACAGATTATTCCCCTATTTGCTTCCCAAACTCCCCATTACACCTGCTCATAACATTACGCCCTCCGCCCATTCCCTTCTGCCTCATTATCCCCCTTACCAACACTTCTATGACCAACCTTCACCTTCTCCGATCTACCGGCCCTTTTCTCACCCCACGCTCTTGACTGTTCTAAAGCTCGCTGCTCTCCGTCCCCCCCTGCCTCGTCCCGCTCCGCCCTGCCTCGCCCCACTCCGCCCCGCTCCGCCCCGTTCCGTCCCGCCCTGCCCCACCAGCCCCGCCACGTCATGCCACCGCCAGCCACGGCGCCGATGTTTACGGTGGCGGTACAGAACGGCGCTTCTCCCTGCTGAGCCCCGCCCCGCCCCCAATATACGCCCTCGTACTTTCCTCAAGAGCTGCGGCTGAGGAAATATTCCAAGTAGCCGATGTTTTCGAGTCGATTTCTGCCTCCCTCTGGATGGCTCAGTCCCCTGCAGGGTTTTCGCAGGATGAGAAATGGATGGCCTTAGAAGAATCGTGCGATTATGAAATCGATATATTCGGAACGTTTTCTTGTTTCGAGTTTCTTTTTGTAATGGTCGAGTGGTTCAGAAGCAATAGAATACGACAGTAATAGTAAAGTAGAGAGGTAGCTGGGGGGAACACAGTTCGGTAAATAGTGAAGGATAAATGTGTTTTTTCTAGTTTATTATATCAAGAATAAAAAATATTGCGGGTTACATATGAGGATAATCTGTTTTCAAAAGGTAAGAAGCATGTGAAGATTAAAGTTATAAAATAATAATTAATAAAAAAAATATAATTAATATAAATAATATAAATAATATAAATAATATAAATAATATAAATAATATAAATATTATAAAATAATAAATAATATAAAATAATAAATAATAATAAAGTAATAATACTGTGTCGCGTCCTTTACTTTCAAACTTGTTTTGGAAACAAATTTCAACTTAGGATCACATGACGTGAATTTAGGTCACCCCAAAAAAGTCAAGTGTTTCTTTTAATA